TGACACCAGCCCTTGTCTTTCTGTAACCTCTCCTTTATCCTTACTGCCTGTGGGTTCACGGTCCCCGGAGCCCACCCATGTGCTTTCGTGAGAAGCTGCGTTGGCCTAGAAATCAGCCCCACCTCTCGGGTACACTGCTCTCTTGTTCCTGAGATTGTTCTTCTTCCTCTTCATCCCTTGGATGCCTTGCAAGAGTGTTAGGCTCAGAAGAACCAAGTCAGCTGGAGCTTAGTTGGACGGCTAAGGAGACATGTTCTGATGACATGCAAAACGATTCCTGCTCCAGGAGTTCCACATCCATGTAGGAAAGAGACCTGAAGTACTCAAAGCTTCATAGAGAGGAAATTTAGCATGAGTTTATTGAAGGAAATAAGAATGATAGTCAACATTAGCAAAGCAATTGCCCAGCTCTTCTGATTTTCAGGGTTATTCCAAGGATAATACAATTACCAAGACAACTCGGGGCACCTCTACGTGGACAGAGGGCTGTAATGAGAAGAATATTCTGCCCTCCAGCTGATTCCTCGCTGTTTGTATTTCCAGTTCACTTCACCTGTACGGTCACCAGAATTAACAGGATCTCATGAAATCAGCTTTAGTGTTCTGGACACCCAGATAAGCTCACCTTTATCACTTCTATCTCTGCAATTTCTGATGAAACAGATGTCTGAAGGCCAAATGCTTAGAACATACCCCAGCACTGATCATAAGTGAAGGACTAGCTCTGTCCTCGTGTGTGATCTCACTTTGTTTTGTTTTTAATTTTTATTTTTTATAGGAATATAGCTGATTAACAATGTTGTGGTAGTTTCAGGTGGACAGCAAAGGGACTCAGCCAAACATGTACATGGATCTGTTCTTCCCCAAACACCCCTCCCATCCAGGCTGCCATGTAGCCTGGAGCAGAGTTCCCTGTGCTATGCAGTAGATCCTTGTTGGTTTTCCATTTCTTTTATTTATTTTTGGCTGCTCTGGGCCTTCATTGCTGTGAGGGCTTTTCTCTAGTCGCAGCGAGTGAAGGCTACTTGCAGTGTGTGGGTTTCTCTTGGCGGTGGCGTCTCTTGTTGCAGAACACAGGCTCTAGGGCGTGTGGGCTTCAGTAGTTGCAGCTCCCAGGCTCTAGAGCACCAGCACAGTTGCTGTGGCACATGAACTTAGTTGCTCCATGGCATGTGGTATCTTCCCAGTTCAGGGATCAAACCCATGTCTCTTGCATAGGCAGGTGGGTTCTTCACCACTGGACCTCCAGGGAAGCCCCAGTTATCCATTTAAAACATCACAGTGTGCACATGTCAGCCTCAAACTCCGTAACTATCCTTTCCCCCCATCATTTCCCATTTTGACTCCGGAGTAAGACAAAGCAGATTTCCCATAGCTTCTTCACTGGGACCCATAATTGTGCGATATCCCCTCCTCCTGACACTGTCACCTGCCTGCCCTCCCTAGGGGGGGAAGCCAAGCAAAACTCACAGCAAGGGCATGTGAGATCTGGGACAAAAGTGCTCTGTGCAGCCACTTTGCATCCTTATCTCTGGCTCAAAATGAAATTTTGAAACCCTGTAATTGCAAGAATCACTTTCTTGTGCACTTGAAATTAAATCAACATTTAAAAATCTAGCTCCCAAGCTAAAGGTTAGTCTTGACCAAAAAAGTTTTTGGGGAAACAGAAAGTCATACATTAAAACAAAGAAACTCCTAACAATTCCAAAATGGGGTATACTTCCTTTCACCAGGGACTGATTGGTCTGGGGGCTGGAAAATTCTCCTCCTTGTGTCCCCTGCAGGGGCCAGCCCAGTTCTTTGCCCAGTTCTGAGAAAATCCCCATAAAGTTTTGACTCAACTGCCGGCCTGCTGGGCAGCACATTTCTTTCCGGCTGCCCCTAGGGCTGGCCCTGGACACTGGCATCAAACGATCTTTGTTTCCAATCATGCTGCAGATCTACAAAAAAAAAAAAAAAAATCCCCCAGGCCCTCTAGAAAACATTGCTTTCACATTGAGTTACGCCACGGAAAAGTGCTATCAAGCCACAGAAAAGTGCTATCAATGAAAGATCAATTGACTTCAGTATGTCAGATAGTGGAGGAACTCAGTGGCTGATAGAAATCAGCCCACTGCTTTCAGGTCTTGCTGCATCATGACATACCATACATCCGGTAGAACTAGCACAAGGGGTGTAGACGTGTTCGTTGACCCCCTAGATGGAAGCCATCTTTCTGAGGCTCAGCAAGCCCCCATTAGGTCTGACACATTCTGGGTGGGCAGTCTTCATGATCTGTTTCAAGTTATTTTCAGACCTGAAGGCAGACACAAGGCCATTGTGGTCATCAGAGGACCAGGTTCCAGCGTTGCCCGTATGACCTCCCCAAATAGGTCTATATACCAGTCTAAGAGCAGCTTAGACAAGACCATCTCCAAGGCCCAAATGGAAAGGTCCTATCCATCTTCCATAACACATTCTAATTCCCCCACACAATCACCCTTGCTGCCTGAAGCAGGAAGAACCCGGGTGGTCAGGAGTTGGTTTCAGGATATGATCATTCTGTCCTCACTACCCTAGGGTCTGACAGCCCCACTGCCCATCTTCCAGGAAGGAGGTGAGCAGTGGATTCCCTCAGAACCTTCTCGGGGCCTCCTGGCTTCTCTGAAGCTGATGTTCTGTCTGGTGGCCCATCCCAGCCACAACTCGTGACTTTCTGGGTCGGCAGTTGTGCAAGTCCTCGGTGCTCATGTCCCAGCCCTGAATTCCCCTGGGTGCTCTTCTGACCACCTTCTCAGCCCCACTACCTCTGACCACCTCTTGGCAGACAAATATCCCCAGATCTTTCCATAAGAGTTCCAGTTTACTTAAAAGGAATGTTCTTCTCCAAGTGGACTTGTTAATTGGACCTCAATTCACATGGGCTGTTTGGGTTTTTCATGAAAATCATCAAAGGTTATGCACTTTTGGGACTTTCCTGGTGGTCCAGTGGCTAAGACTCAGGGTTCCCAATGAAGGGGAACCAGGTTCAATTCTTGGTCAGGGAACTACATCCCACATGTTGCAACTAAGATCCGGTGCAGCCAAATAAAAAAAGACATTGTGCACCTTGACAGCTGTAGGCAAGTCCAGGTGTGCTGGGCCCAGCCTGGGAGGGTACAGAAGTTGGTACAGGGCCATAGAGGGGCCCCCACAAGCAAGGAGCCCTGAAGCCAGAGCTACGTCAGCTTCATGGTATATCTACCTCTGACCTTATTCGGAGACCAGAATCTTAGGGACACTGAGTTTTCTGTCACTTCTGTTGGTCTATCATTATCACAAGAACAATCTGAGGAGGAGATTAAGCATGTGATCCAGAAAGGCTCACATGCAAATACCTCCCATCTCTTTCCTGGGGGGCTTTGAAATCTTGAGCATTAAGTTAGCTAACCTCACTCTGCTTCAGTTTTCTTCTTCTGAAAAACAAAAACAAAGCGGAGGTAACAATGCCTCTTTCACAAGTGCAGTGTTGCAAATTACAGGGAGGGCATGTTTGTATAACACTGGTACAAGTGTTCAACACTATTCACTCAGTGAATGATGGATCAGACCCCCATTCAATAGTCTTCATTAGAGTTTGTAGACATGATTAAAATCTACCTTCTACAAAGGCAAGTTGGTTATGAACTTGACAATAATTGGCATGGAGAATGCAAGCAGGTATCCAGAGGTGGTATAAATGTATAAAAATAAGATGCAAAATTGAACCACACTTAGCCTAAACCAGCAGCTGAGAATTATTTCCCAACCACAATGAGAATTATTTCTCAACCACAATGTGCTGAAAGTACACAATCCAGATGACAATCCAGATGACAACTATGGCTTCACAGCAGCAAGAGCAGAGGTGCACACATACAACATGCAAAGCTCGCAAAGCTCCCGGGCACTTTTGGCCCCCTCATGGCACACGTTCTCCTCCAAGTTCTATTCCAACCCTTAAAACCCATCCCTGGACCAGTTGAGAATCACACTCTTTACAAGACTTCAGGCAAAATACTGAATTTATTCAGCTGATTTGACGGGTCATGTTGGATAAAAGTATCATTTTCATTTGCATGATGTAAAAACATACTTGGAATACTCACATACATTACAGTGTTAAAAATATATATGTATGAAAGATTCATGAAGGCATTTGATATAAAACATACACAGTATGCTATTTTAATATACAAACGCTTTCAAGAAAATAGAGAAGAATTATAAAAGTAGCATCATTAAGAATTTATAAACGTTCCATTTTTCTTAAAGGTCACATTCTCATCCTTTGGGATGTACAAACATTATGTGGTTTAACACAGTTTTATCCACATTCAAAACATCATGTTTCAAATGTCTGAAGCATAGCATGTACAGTACAAAATGTTTCCATAGGAACTGAACCAAACCTGTCACTAGTGGCAGCTGTCACATGGCTCCCAATTCATCGGTTAGCCATTTTTAAGACACTAGTTCAGCTTATCGCTATAATATTCAAGTTGTTCTATTTACCCCAAATATAAAGACTTTCATTTCTATCAGCATTTATAGACAAAGGCTTGAAGAGTTATCGTACAATATACACCAATATACACCATATATACACTGAGTTAAAAGAGGTTCCCTTAGTTAAATTATTAATAGAACCAAGAACAGTCATTGTAGGCTAATATATTATTCTTGTGATTGGTATTCTTAAAATTTTGAGCAAAGTGCACAGTGGATGGAATCAGTCACTGAGAAATGATCCTTCCATGAACTCTCAGCTTCCTTAGAGTCAGGCATACCACCTGAGAAATGAGAACTTTCCAGCCTAGTGGCCAAGGGTAGCTTCACACATCAACTCACAGGAGTCACATGGAATCACATTCATGAGTCGGAGGAGCCCAGCCAATAAACATACAATTCCCTCGATGGAGACCCTGTGCAGAGTCAGCAGAATCAGCTTCCCAGAGATCTATGAATATTGAGTCCTAATTCAGGGCAGACGCCACCAGCCATCAGCCATACTCTAGGGTCGGTGGACCCCGGACAAGGTTGAAATAGCCAGCAAGGGCCCCGAGGTCTATGTAGAGAGAACGCTGCCTCTTCAGCATCTCCGATTCCTCAGTGCTCCCAGTACATGACGAGTCTGAAAAAGGAAACATTGAAAAAATAAAATAAGTGATCAGGGGACATGTTCAATAATAGATGCCTGTTCCCTCAACTTAACAAAAACAACAAACTTTGGGCCTAAAGGAACAGCATTCAAACTCTGTTGAATTATTACTAAAAAGCCGTACTATTGGGGGCTTCCCCGGTGGTCAAGTGGTTGAAACTCTGCCTGCCTGTGCAGGAGCTGTGGGTTCGATCCTTGGTTGGGGAACTAAGATCCTACATGCTTCAGGCTGCATTTCTGGCTGCAGCCAAAAATTTTTTTTAAAGCCATAGAGTTGAACATGATGGGCTAGTTTATGGGATACAGCACAGACGAAAGAATTTAGAAAAAGAGTCAACAACCACAAAAAATTATCTGGAAATCCTGGCCCATTTTCCAACATCCCAGACGATTCTTTTCAAATGCAGGGAAGTCAGATAAGAAGGTGAGAAATGCAAATAAGCATTCCAGGCTTGACATCTGGGTTTGGACCCAAATACATTTAGAACATCACAGATTTCATAATAAAAACAGAAACCCTTCTCCGTGCATATCCAATGTTCCTGGAATGTGTATCGTTTTTCCTAAATGGGAAAGTATCACAGCTGGAAGTGAGATTTTTGAGCAGAAGAAGACAGAAATGCAGGTTGCCTTCAAATTTAATATTTTATCAGTGCTGTGATGTTCCCAACCAACAGCTGGCATAGTTTACCATAACTGTATTATACAGAGTTCCACTCTTTGCCAACAGCAAAACTGTCATGCTTGATCTATTTTTAAAAGCAAACACTCTTCTCTGTTGCAAAAGAAAGCAAGGCAGAGGTAATTCTCAAAGACAGCGTTACCTCCATCTGCACTGGAAACCAGTTAGGCTTGCTGGTAAATTAGCCAATTTTTTTTTTAATTATGACTTTTTTTTGGCCACACCCCATGGCTTGCAAGATCCTAGTTCCCCCATCAGGAATCAAATTCATGCCCACTGCAGTGGAAGCATGGGATTTTGACCACTGGACTGCCAAGGAATTCCCAGCTAATTTTTTCTTTCTTTTTTTTTGATATATGCTTTTGCTAACATTCTTGCTAAAATCTCTCCAACAACTTATAGCATGCAGGAAGTTACTTCAGTTTTTTTTTTTAATTTTACTTAAGTCAAGTTGATTGACAATATTAATTTCTGCTGTACAGAAAACTAACTCAGTTATATATACATATATATGTATATGTGTGTGTGTACATATATATATATCTTTTTCATATTCTTTTCCATTATGCTTTATCACAGGATATTGAGTATAGGTTCCTGCACTATACAGTAGGACCTTGTTGTTACCCATCCTACATATACTAGTTTGCATCTGCTAATACTATTTTTTTTCCAGGCATGTTCATGAATTCTATTAGAAGGTGGATGGAGACAGAAAAAGAAGGGAAGCCAGGGCACTGCACACCGCAGGGTGTCCATACCGGCAATGTTCTCAGGAAGCTCTAACTCCTTCCGGCTCAGCAGCCGCTTCCGCTCAAAGAGAGCAGAGTCCAGACTCTGACAGCGGGGTTGGTCCTCCCTGGAGGGGTTCAGCGCCTCGTGTTTCAGTAGGTCTGCTGCCCTAGGCCGGTGATTGGGGTTCCTCTCCAGAGCAGCCTCAATCAGCTCTCTCATACCTGGACTGCAGTCCTCAGCAATATCTTCCAAAGGAGGCGCTTGCTTGTGAATCTGTGAACAAACCAGCTCTCTTAGCATCAAAGGCATGAACATATACCCTCGACAGGACAGGTATTCTAGTTACAAGACCCGGAAAGTCTTTTGTTTTGAAGTGAATACAGCGCATAGCCTTCAGTAACATTTCCTAAGGACACTGAGTGAAACCCATCTTTTGGTTAAATGGAGTCAGAGATAAACGCTTGAGGTCTGAATACACAGCTTTCCATAGGAGCAATGCCCAAAGGTCCCTGTGCAGAAACGGGTAAGCGCCTGCTGCTCAATTTCTCTATAGTCAAAGGAGGTGGGTGAGATGGGACCGGGGCGGGGGGAGGGGGGCGCTGCGTGTTTCACTATGTGCCAGGCTGCCCTGGGGAGCTAGAACCTAATACCTTCTTTCTGGAAAGTGTTCAAAGAACATAGACATCTTCCTCAGTTCAATGCTTTATGCTACTCCGATGTTTTTCAGTGGCATCATGTGTAACAGCATAGCAAATAATTTCTGCCTGGGCACAGCTGGATGGGTTTCCACAGGGTGATCCCTCCATGTGGGACAGTTAGGGTTATACTAAGCCTAGGACATGGTCAGCATACCATGGTTAGCATACTGAGCATATACTAGTGTTACCATAGAGGACAATGGTCATACTTCACCATCATCAGATGTGTGTACTATCAGAGAGAGAGCAGCTCTCCTGAGCAGGTGAGATGCTCCAACCCCACCCTCCCCGCATCGTCACCACTTACTATGTACAGGTAGGAAGGGTAGGCGGAGCGCGGGTAACGCTTCACCCAGGGCGGGGTGCCCGTCTGCATGTGGATGAGCGTAGCCCCCAGGCTGTAGATGTCTGCTTTGGTCGAATGGCCCCTGCAGAGGATCACCTCCGGACTCATGTAAATCTGAAAGAGAAGCAGGAAGGTCAGTCTGATCCCCTCATGGGTCTAGGCGCCATTTCCCTAACCTAGTTCTGGAAGCAGGCACATGCCCCTCGCTGTATCCACTGCACACTTCGTCCCTTGAGAAGAGCATGTCACTGCTGTGTTCCCTTCAGCAAAGGAGTAGCACTGACCATGGGCACTCAGGCAGCTTCACCCTGCAGCCTCACAGCACCTCTCCCCGCAGACTCAACACAAGGCAGCAAACCAGCCACGGCTAACACACCTGGCACTCCCACTCAAAGTTCTGCGAAGCAAGGATCGCTGTTTCCTGTTCCTACTAAAACACCAATTCCTTTTGTATTTCAATGGACACTAAAATACATGTCCTCATTTCATGTTTGGCATTCAAATGCCAAACCGATAATTATCTTCAGTCATCAAAAGCAGCTGAGGTCCCCAGAGTATCAACACCGACTAGACAGAAGAGAAGAATTTAAAGTGTAACACTGGAGGACTTCCCTGGTGGTACAGTGGATAAGAATCTGCCAACCAATGCAAGGGACACGGGTTTGATCCCCAGTCCGGGAAGATTTCACACGCTTCAGAGCAACTGGGTCTCTGTGCTGTAACTACAGAGCCACGTGCTGCAACTACTGAAAAGCCCATGCACCCTAGAGCCTGTGTTCCATAATAAGAGAGAAGCCACTGCAATGAGAAGCCCACGCACTGCAACTAGAGAAAGACCCGTGCAGCAACAGAGACCCAGAGCAGCCCCCCAAAAATAAAGTGCAATGTTGGAAAAGTGATCCTAGTGGGTCATTTTGATGAACCTCTTCTTATTTCTACCTACCAGGGAGCCCAATGACTAAACACTAAAGGCAGGCCGTGTTCACATTGTGTAAGCTGGTTTTATGAGCCAATGCTGGAAAAGGAGGGCTTGTTTTAGAAACGGTTTCCCTAAGCAGTGTGTGTTTCTAAAAGAGAAAAAGAGCAAACACCGGTGACCTGTCTTTATGGCTGGTACAGGCACAGTGCAGTTCCTACCCTCACCATCAATATTTAGCTTTAACAACTTTGGATGCTGCCATGAACGTAGGGGGGCGGGGGGGGGGTGTGTGAGTATTCCCAGAATACATTTCAGAGTAAATAAAGAAAGAACTGGCTTACAAAAACTGGGGAAATTGCCCAGTTTCCCCACCTCACTTGTCTCAAGTACTTCCTACAACACACTTCCGGGCTGCCTGGGCTTGGTTCTTTACTAGTTGTTTTTTTTTCTCTCTCTCCCTCTCTCCTTGGACTTTCTTACTAAATAAAATCGCAAAGTTAGGCAACACACCCAGTGGTCAGGACAACTGTTAACAGAGGTGCCTGCCTCCCCTCCCCGACACCCCGGCGACTCTCCTAAGCAAGGATTAGGCAAAGTGTTACGGCTGGTGTCACCAGCGGCAGCTGTGCGCTTGGGGCCCTGGAGGGGTTGTGGGGTGGCGTGTGGTGGGGGCAGATGCCTTGCCCAGAGCCCCATGGCTCCCAGTTCCTGACTCCTTAAGCTCCAGGGAGCCACAGTAGCAGGTCATGGGGTCAAGGGCACTTCCTGAAACAGGCCTGGGGGGAACCCAAGTCAGGCTGTCTGGGGGTTGTGCACCCTTAGCTGTGGACCCAGGAGCCTAGAGCTCGGCGGGGTCGGGGGGAGGGATGTCAAGGCCTTCACCTCCTAACACATTTATTACAAAGGGAAGGGGACTCTGTGTGTGTGTGTGTCCCCACGTACTTGATGATGACATGTGACCTTATATAAGAACTTTACAAAAGAACAAGGCTATCAAGGGAACTCTAATTACTTATTCACATTCATTATTTCTTCTCTCTCTGTACCAGGGAATTCCAAAACAATAGCTTAAAGATAGGCTGGATTAACCCTGTATAAGCGCATCGCATGGCATGGTTACAAGATCATGCCCCGAATAGGCAGGCCACGAGTGACCAGCGTCTGTATTTGGAAGCCCGGCTGGGGGGTTCGGAAGTTATCTGATCAAACTGAATGATCAAGTTCTAATGGAAGGCGAATCTGCACAGCTGACCCTGACTAATGATACCTTCCTTCTTGCTCTTTGAGGATGAGGGGTCAAAACAAACTTTCTGAGAAGTGACCTCTACACCTCAACTCATCAGCACACTTCCTACCACACTTCAATCACAAGTGCCAGACATACAGTAAACAAGCACATGTGGATCAGAAGAGTTTTTACAGCTAGGAACGCCAAGGCCAGTTTAGCACTTCATAGAAAGCAAGTAACATTTGGTGAAAATACTTCAATCCAAACTCCTATTCAGGAATAGACACTGTGTTGCTATCTCATACTCAAACACACACTCTTCTGATAGAAAATCCCAGAAAGGAGATGTCTTTCTCCAGTTATTGCAAAATGTCCAATTTGATCATCCTGCCGGGAAGAGAAAGGTATTTTCCATCTTTAATACCATAAATAGTTTGTTTCTCAAACTGGCTCCAGGAAAAAAGGATAGATTGTCACATATCTGAAGGTCTGACAACTGCCAAAACATGCTGAAGTAGTTCCAAAAAAATCATGTCAGAAGTGTTAAGTCTTATTAGATTTTGTGCTTTGGGGAAGTATTCCCAAGATCTGGAGACTAAAACATGCTTAAAATTAAAGGTCTACAGTTTTCTGAATATTATTTTGCTTGAAGACAACTCTCCAGGATCCTCTCCCAAGTATTTTCCAGAATAAGTTCACTAATAAAAGCAAAACCAAAGATCTCTTCTACTGCCCAAGAAAGTCTGCTTTAAGAGAGTTAAGAAAAGGCTTACACAGCCTGGATGGGAGGAGGGTTTAGGGGAGAATGGATACATGTATATGTATGGCTGAGTCCCTTCACTATTTACCTGAAACTACCACAGCATTATTAATTGGCTATGCCCCAATACAAATTAAAAAGGTTAAAGTTTGAGGTGGGAAAAAAAAGGATTAAAAAAAAAAAGGCTTACAGAAATCCCAGCCTAAAATGCAGACAATTCTTTTTGCAGCTGCGTGCATTCGTGAACTCTGTCACTTAGCCGTGTCTGACTCTTTGCACTACTTTGGACTATAGCCCACCAGGCTCCTCTGTCCATGGAATTTTTCAGGCAAAAGTACTGGAATGGGTTGCCATTTTCTCCTCCAGGGGATCTTCCCAACCCGGGGATCAAATCCACATCTCCTGCATCTCCTACATTGCAGGCAGATTCTTTACCGCTGAGCCATAGGGGAAACCCTTGCACTGCAACTGAGTCCAATGCAATACATTTACTAGCTAAACTAAAGGTTATCTTTTGATTAACACCAGGACTGACCTGGTAATCTTGAGGCAAAGATTCACCAACTGCCCCCTCTTCACTTCCTGAGGGCACTTTCAACAGAGAAGGGCATGGGGCTGAGGGGCTCTGATAGCTAAACACCTCATCGTCATGGAGATGGGCCAGGAAGGCAGATTCTACCCCCATGTACCTTCCCAGATGCAACCAACCCCATACCCATCATAACTGATTGTGAACTAAATGGCTGGTCATTTATTAATAATCCAGGTAAATTTAAAATAGGTCCTAACTCCAGAATGGAGTCCTTGTTGGCTTTGTCTTGGGTTCCTCCCTTGCATGCACAGCAGCCTGAATGATCAGATGTCCAACAGACACTCACTACATGAATCAACTATGCAGCCTAATAATGTGAATGCTAAATATATTATTTGAAAACTTGTGAATGCATTTCTCTGAATCTCATTTAGATTCAGGAAAGTTTTGTTTTTGTTGTTTTCGTTTCACAAATGAGTTGAATATTATAGTAAGCTTATACCTTCAAATTTCTTTCTTTTAAGAGTCCAAGGATTAAAGAGAGGCCTAAGATATCAGATCTCAATAAATGTTGTTCTTAATGATCATGATGATTATGGCTGTAACTGAACCAAAGCAGTAATACTATTATACTGAAAATGTACATATTAGTTACACAGCAGTTAAACCTTAGACTATAGACTCAGAAAAAACTAGATTCGATTCCCTGATCTGTCAGTAGCTGAATAACTTTGGGCACTTTATCTTAACCTCTTCAAGCTGATTTTCTTATTTTAAAATGGTAATAATAGTATTTCCCTATAATAATAGTATTGTGAGGATAAAATAATATAATCCAAATAAAGTGTTAAAATGAGCACATGACACAGAGTGAATGCTCATTAAAAACGTTCCCATGATAATAATGATTTAATGTAGTAGATTTCTTCCCCTTCTTTGTCCTTTCTGCAGTAATGATAGAACATCTTATTTTTCCTGTTGATAAGATATTGCCAGACTGTGCTGGTAGTCCAGTGGTTAAGAATCAGCCATGCAATGCACGGGATGTGGGTTTGATCCCTGGTCGAGGAACTAAGATCACACATACCTCAGGGCAATTAACCCATGTGCCACAACTGCTGAACCTACTGGCTCTGGAGTCTGAGTACCACAACTTGAGAGAAGCCCATGCATCACCACGAAAGACCCTGAATGCCACAATTAAGACCCAAGGACAGCCAAACATAAATAAATACTAAAAAAAAAAAAAAAAAAAAAAAGCTATTGCCCATTTTCAGATGAACATAATAATTACCTCTGTTCCACGGAGGTCCTTAGGAAAATAGATCTCTTCGGTCATTTGGACACTTAGACCAAAATCCACCAAAACAGCTTTTGTGGACATGAAAACAATGTTGCTAGCTATAAAGAGATGAGAAATTTTAGTAAAAAATTGTGTTATCTATCCATAAACAAAATGGACACATTATTTAAATTGTGTTGCAAATAAAGATACATTGAAATGCTTCCTTTATTGAAATGAGTGCATTATATTCAAAAGGAAAGGTGAATGTGGGTGTGAGTTTAGGTAAAAATCACTTCAGATTTGTCAAGAATTCAGTCAAAGTGGATATAAATGAAGGTAGTCATTAATAATCCTCAAATTACAATAGCCAAGACATGGAAACAAGCTAAGCATCTATCAATGGATGAATGGATAAAGAAAGTTTATACATATGCAAATTTTGTGATTATCTATACACATATAAGTTGTCTGATATATATTAATATAATAGGATATTATACAGCCATAAAAAAGAAGGAAATCCTGCTATTTGTGACAACATGGATGAACATTGATGGCTAAATAAGTCAGACAGAGAAAGACAAATCCCATACTATCTAACTTTTATGAGGAGTCTAAAAAAGGAAAAAGCAAGCAAACCTAGAAACACTTAACAAAGTGGGTGCCAGGGGTCAGGGCAAAGAGAATTTGGGATGGTGGGAAAAAGAGTACAAACTTCCAGTAACGAGATAAAAAACTTCTGGGACTATATGTCCAGAAGTAATGTATAGCATGGCGACTATAGTTAAAATTGTTGCTGTTCAGTCGCTAAGTGGTGTCTGACTCTTTGTGACCCCACGGACTGCAGCCCTCCAAGCTCCTCTGTCCTCCACTATCTCCTGGAATTTGTTCAAATTCATGTCCACTGAGTCAGTGATGCTATCTAACCACTTCATTCTCTGCCACCCCCTTCCCCTTTTGCCTTCACTCCTTCCCAGCATCAGGGTATTTTCCAGTACTGTACGGTACTGGAAATTTGGTATGGTATTTTTGTAAGTTGCACATTTTAAAAGCTGTCACCACACAAAAAAATTATAAATACATGAGGTGGATGATGTGTTAACTAATCTTATCATGATAATCATTTTGCAATATATACATGTATCAAATTACTACATTGTACATCTTAAACGTATGTTATATTGTCAATTATTTCTCAATAAAGGTGAAAAATATTTTCTATATTTTATATACTGTGTACTATCATCAAGCCACTTTCTGAAATAAAAAGTAAAATATCCCACTTTTCTCAGTACAAGTTTTGCTAGCCCAATTTATGCTTAGATATTGATCTCTCTTATGGATTTCCCCACAATCTCTTACTCTTAGAAACCAGTCAGGCTCATGCTTAGTTGCTCAGTTGTGTACGACTCTTTGCAACCCCATGGACTGCCAGGCTCCTCTGTCCATGGAATTTTCCAAGCAAGAATACTAGAGTGGGTTGCCATTTCCTTCTCCAGGGGATACTACTGACCCACGGGCAGTCCTCATGCCATCAAGGACCTTCATATTGAACAGAAGAGCCCATCGGCCTAAAGTCCAACTAGTCTGTGTAAGCCAAAAAGGGACACATCCAAAGATAACTCACGTTTAATGTCATGGTGGATCACTTTCTTTGAGTGCAGAAAATCAAGTCCCTTGAGAACATGTTTTGTCACCCAAATAATCTCAAATTCTCTCATGGGTCCACAGCTCTCCAGTTTCTCCAGGACAGACCCTCCTTCACCTGCTTCCATGAAGAGGTGGACAGTTTCACCCCATAGAACGGCACCATATAACTCGGCGATATTCTCGTGCCGGAAGCAAGCCTGGATTTCCACGTCAGATGGCTTAAATTGGTCTACTGGGATCTAGAACACAAAAGCACAAAGACTATCCTCAACAACCCCAGGGTAATGAAAAATATACACAATATAGGTCAACTTACAAACCAGAAGGCAAACAAATGCCCTCAAGGATACTCTGATGTTATTATGAAATTGTACTCTTGAGTAAAGATAATGCTTACTTGGGATCTGCCTTTACATTAACATCTGCATAAGGTGAAAAAATTCAAAATGAGAAAATAAAGGACAAAATAATAAAATACTACTTTCATTTACAGTAGAGACACCCAATGAAAGAATTGTTCATGACTGGCCCAGAGATGGTAATTTCCCATCTGTTATACATGGAATTTCTAAGGTACTAGATTTGGGTCATTATTTTCAGTCTTCCTCATCATAAAATACTGTCTCTAGTCTCACCGTTCATGTTCTAACAATGCATTTAAATAAGCACTGACCATCTATTCTATGGAGAATCAATAGTCATTAATAAAGAAAGAAGTAACTCTTTCATGACAGGAATGCCTCCAAAATAAACTGTTAGATTGAGGTAGGCAAGATGCAGAAATGCACATACTATGTTCCCATTTGTAAAAACATATTCCACTATACAGACACATGTCCATAGAAATTTTCTGGAAGGACATGTAAGAACCCATTAATGGTAACTGCTGCAAGGAAAGGAGTCTCATTCTTTAGGCTGCATCCTTATGAACTGTTTGGGGTTGTTAATCATCTTACATGTTTCTCTTTTTTAAGAAAACACACAGCTTAAAAATTAAATATAAGGACTGCAAGGAAAACAACCCCGCAAAGCTATTTGCCATGTCTTTTGTGATAAAACTGAAAAACAGAACATTTTCTGGCCCTAAGAGCTTTAAAAAAATGTCTCTAGATTTTTTTTTTAAACTTGGACATATCTCTTTATAAATGCAACCTTCAAATAACTACTATATTACTTCCTTTTTTCCCTTTAATAACAGATGCTCTGGGTTAACCTTTATGGAGGCACAAACGAGGACCTCACGATGAAAAGTGAGACTGAGATGATAGTGTCATTATTTTCTATTTTGTTTTTTGTTAAATCAAAAGTGAGTCTGTTTCACTGCACTTAAAAAAACTTTAAAGTGGAAGAGACATACACAAAAATGCAAAACTGATTATCACACTCAATGAATTTTCAAGTGAACACACTCATGTAACCACCATGTAGATTAGGAAACTTCACCAGCATCCCTGAAACCCCTTGCTGAGCCCTACCTATCACCCATCCCCAGGGACACCCACTAACGGGATTTCCAACAGGTCTGTTTAGTCTTTTGGGCCTTTATATAGGGTTGGCCAAAACGTTCCTTTAGGTTTTTCCATATGATGTAAAGGGAAAACCTGAACAAATGTTTTGGCCAAGCCAGTATAAGTGGAATCTCATAGACCAGATCCTGTTTTGTGCCCAGCTGTTCTAGCTTCACCTAATGTAGATTTATCTACATCATTGCAGTTGTAAGTCATTTCTTCTCTTTGCTGGACAGCATTGCATTATATAAACATACCACATTTCAACATCTGCAAACTTTCCAGTTTGGGGCTATTGCAAACAGTGCTGCTATGGACACTCCAGCACATGGCTTCTGGGGACCGTGGATGCATGCCTACTGGGCAGGCACCTGCAGGAGTGGAATTGCTGGGTCACAGGGTGTGTGCCTGCTCACTTTGGTAAATCAGGCCAGTCTTCCAAAGTGGGGGCACCTCAGCAGATGCTTAATGTTTAATAAGAAGAGATGGGGTGTCTTCAATACTGGTCTATTTAAATTCAGTCTTTGGGGACTTCCCTGGCGGTTCAGTGGATAAGACTCCACGCTGCCAAGGCAGGGGGCCCAGGTTCGATTCCTGGTTGGGAACTAGATCCAGAATGCTGCAACTAAGCTCCATGCCAAAGCGAAGGTCCCACATGCTGCAACTAAGACCCAGTGCAGCCAAACTAAATAAATAAATAAATATTTTAAAAATAAATAAATAAATTCAGCCCTTTAATCTGTAGTCCTAAGAAGTCTTGTGGCATTCCAAACAGTGCCTACTTCCCTGCCCAGTCCCCTCCCCTGTGGATGAGATTAAAAACAGAGGCAAATAAATTTGCTCTTGCAGGAGATCTTCCCTCCCCCATCCTACCACAAGAAGGATGCAAGCATCCAAGCTGGCACTAAGTAAGCTAGTGCCTTCTTTTTTATCAGCGCAAACTGACTAAACTCAACTATTGTACTCAAGTAGACTTGGGGATTAAATGACCCCAGGTAGGAAGCCTATCTATAAAATAGAGATGCTTTGTTGGACTGATCACCCTCAAACAAGAAGCAGTCAAAGGGCAGCCAGCTTTGAGTAAAGAAACACACAAGAGCCCCAACGCCAACAGTCAGGGCACCGTGTCTGGTTATGAAGTACATACCAATTTACATGCCATCCTTTTCTTAGTCTTTATATCTTGTGCTAAGTACACTTTCCCAAATGCCCCCCGAGGAATGAAATCGGAGCCAATGTTCCTGTAGGTCAACTTCCAAGGGATGAGCAGAACATCAGAGTCTATTTGGTAGCGTCCATTCTGAGGAGTGATTACCTACAACAAAGCAAACATGCAGGAGGGTGAGAATTTCAGCAAGGTTCTCTTCCAAGACCCACCCTTCAGGAACTGGTTATGTTAGAAGACATTCTTACATGCGGTGTTAAAAATGAATGTCACTGTATGTAATCCTAACAGTGTACAGAGGCTATATTTAGAGTTTCAGCAAGACAGAGAAAGCATGTCACAGAACACGTCACTGGCCAGACCTGATCATATTTCTATCTGTATGTGAGTAATTCATTGCGAAAGAGAACTTTAAAAATGGTTTATCTAAGGCACCCTGATTGTTGTGACCAAAAGGCTGAAAATAAAGATTGCAGAAATGTAAACTGTACATGCAAGCTGACTGGTTTCCAATTAAAATGTGCTAACCTGTCAGTCTGCGTAACTATTACTCAGAGATGATGCACACAGAGAGAGTGCGGAAATGAACTGATGGATCACAGAGGATTCTGGAAAACAATGTGTTTTGCCAGAGCTGTAAGTTGACATAAATAAAGCAAAGGCAAAATGATCTCTCATCTACTCACTCACTTAATGTTTACTGAGGGCATGATACGTGCCAGGCTCTATGTTTGGTGCTGAGGAGGCAAGAACAAGAGACAGCTAGTCCCTGAGCTCTGAGGGTTCACGAGTCAGCAGACACTTTGAACAAGAGGTCTGAAAGACAGCTGACTCAAAAACTGAGAGCAACAACCTAAAGAAGATGTAGTACATATGCGCAATGGAATACTACTCAGCCATGAAAAAGAATGAAGCAATGCCATTTGCAGCAACACGGATAGACCTAGGGATGATACAAAGTGAAGTCAAACAGAGAAAGACAAACACCACATGATATCTGGAGAAGGAAATGGCAGCCCACTCCAGTACTCTTGCCTGGAAAATCCCATAGACGAAGAAGCCCGGTAGGCTACTGTCCATGGGGTCGCAAAGAGTCAGACACAACTGAGCAACTTCATTTCATTTTCATATCATTTACATGTGGAAACTTTAAAAAAAGATACAAATGAACTTATATACAAAGCAGAAAGCAAACTTATGGCTACCAAAGGGGAAATGGGAGAGGATAAATTAGGAGTTTGGGATTAACATACACACACTACTATATATAAAATAGATAACCAACAAGGATCTACTGTATAGCAAAGGAAACTCCACTCAATATTTGGCAATAATCTATAAGGGAAAAAAATCTAAAAAAGAATATACAGCATAATTGAAACAGTTGGCTGCATACCTGAAATGAATGCAACATTGTAAATCAACTCAAATAAATAAATAAAAATAATAACTAAAAAATTAAGAGAGATATCTTGATAGCAGTATAGGTTATAAGGGTATGTACCCATGTCAAAATTCATCAAACTGGATATTAAAGATCTTTGTATCCTATGTGCATGTGTTAGTCACTCAGTCATGTCTGACTCTTTGTGACCCCATGGACTATATATAGCCTGCCATGCTCCATTGTCCATGAAATTCTCCAAGCAAGAATACTGGAGTGGGTGGGCACTTCCTTCTCCAGGGGATCTTCCTGACTGAGGGGTTAAACCTGTATCTCATGCATTGCAAGCGGATTCTTTACCATCTGAGCCACCAGGGAAGCCCTCTGTGTATTCTATGGCATAGAAAGTCTATCTCAATTTTTAAAGAGTGAAAAATTAAAGGGAGAATTAATAATAATTAAAATGAAAACAAGTTAATAAGACAATTCACGAGAGAGGTGACCTGGAGCACATTCCTTTAAAAAAAAAAAAGATGGTGTAAAGTATTTTTCAAGGGCTAGAATCTCAAAAATACAGGTTTTACCTGCAAATCATTAGTAATAGTATGACTTCAGATTATGAATTCAGGAATTATGAGACTATCAAAGTGACACAGAGTTATTTTAAGAACGGAAGAGGCTGCAGGGGAATGCGGATCACGTGGGGAGAGAAGATAGCGATTCATCTCCAGACCCGCTGGGCTGCTCACACGACCCTGCTCCGGGAACAACACTGGTGACCATAAGGGTTATTCACTCAGGACCCATTATTACTAATCGTAGCTACACCCCACAGACATGCATACTATTAGTCAGGAATGAAACAGAGAAAGATGCTAATACTTAGAAATGTGAAGTTACTGACACTCAAAACTTTAGCATTTACTGAGCATGGCCGCCGTGCAGGAGGAACCATAACTAAGCAGAGACCATGGTCTTGCCAAGTTTGAAATATGACCTCGTTTCAAGAAGCGTCACCTCAAGTTCCTGGAGGCCACTTCTACAGGAGGCTGGGGACATGGTGGGTTTAGTCCTCAAGACAGAACCGTGCCTCAGCACCAGCTGCACTGGCTTTACTGCCTCTTCCTTGTTATTAAATATTTACAGATCCAATTGCTCTTGATTCTCCAGGGCTCACTTCAGGGAAATCTTACTTTTTTTTTTAGGTTTTGTTTTGTTTTGTTTTTTTAATCACTGAAGTATAGTTGATTTACAATGTTGTGTTAGTTTCAGGTGTTCAACATAGCGATTCAGTTACACAAACACATATATATTCTTTTTGAGGTTCTTTTCCATCATAAGTTATTACAAGATACTGAGTACAATTCCCTGCGCAGTATGGTGGGTCCTTGTTGTTTCTCTATTTTATAGGTAGCAGTTTGTACATGCTAACCCCAAACTCCTAATTTCTCCCTTTCCCCTCACCTTTCTCCTTCGGTAACTATATGTTTGTTCTCGATGTCTGTGAGTCTGTTTCTATTTTGTAAATAAGTTCCTTGGTATGATGTTTTTAGATTCCACATATACGTGACATCATGGGATATTTGTCTTTGTCTGACTTCACTTGAAAGTTTTACCTTTGTTCAACTCAAATCTGCTTTAACCCACTCTGACCCAGTGTCCTCTTAGCTGAGAGGATGAGAGTGATAATACTATCCATCTGCTGAGTGCTAGCTCTGGGCCAGGCACTGTGCTGAGTACTTCACACACTAACACATCAGTTTCTCTTACGTCTGTGATGTAAGGACTCTCTTTACCTCCACTTAGAGATGAAGAAACTGACTTGAAGAGGTTAGGAACTCAGTAGGCAGTGACAGAGTCAGGTCTGTCTGACCTCAAGCCACAGCTCCTATTCTTTAGATAAGAGCCTTCAGTTTTCCAGAGGTTGCAATTAAAGTTGAACCCAGTGACCAAATGCCTAATTTATACTCCACTGAGATGGCTTGGCCTTCTCCTCTTTAGATCAAATACTGCAGTTCCTTCACCCCAGTTTACCATTCCCCCACGTTCTTCTCTGAACGCCCTGAGAGTTCTCCAGGCCACCTCTGATGACAGACCCTGAACGCGCAGGGTGACATACAAGTGTTGGCCAGTATGTGGTTCTGCAAAGTCCTGGGATCTTTCCAAGCCCTAGACCTTCCCTATCTGGGTTTGAAATATTTTTCCCCTTCTTCTTCTTTCTAGCAGCCCACGTAGATAATCTTCTGGAAACCTCTGTTGTCCATTATCTCTGTCAACTCTTCCATGTACTAAAGCCATATTCAAGTGCAGACATTGAAGGCATGCCGTCCGTGTGTGTGTGTGTGTGTGCACGCGCGCGCACTCAGTCGCCCAGTCATGTTCAACTTTTTGCAACTCCATGGACCATCACCACCAAGCTCCTCTGTCCATGAGATTCTCCAGGCAAGAATACTGGAGTGGTTTGCTATTTCCTTCACCAGATCTTCCTGACCCAGGGATCGAACCCACATCTCCTGCGTCTCCTGCATTCACAAGTGAATTCTTTACCACTGCATCACCTGGGAAGCCCCTATGCTGTCCATTTACTCATCCCGATCACTGCCATTGGCATGACACATCACCAGCCCAGAAACAGCATTTGAGTAGGTTAAGTCAGTGAGAATGATTCCACAAGGGTGATGTGGTAGCTAGAAAATGGATGTGACCTTGGGCTACATGAAGAGAGATGAGGGATCTAGAACAAAGGCCAAGCTGGCTCTGTGCTCCCCTGCTGGTCCCACAGCAAAGGGGCAGCCAGGTTCAAGATGGGTACTGGCTGGGGCCTGTGCACGAGGAGGGGCAGGCACAGCCAGGGCTGATGGGGAGAGAAGAGGGAAGACGTGGGGGACGAGGGAAGAAGAGGGAACACGTGCAGTTTTGCAAACACTGGGAGGACTGTCGTAAGGAAGGAGAGTGACAACCACAATGGCCTGTGTCCTTTCAACACTCTCAATGTGCACACAGACCACTTGCAATTATTTGACCCCAAACAACCATGTGGAGTGAATGTGGCCATTTACCCATTTTGCAAATGAGTGAGTGGAGGCACAGAGGTTGTAGTAGCTGGCTTGGGGTCACCTACTCCATTTCAGAGCTGAGATACATGCCAGGCACTTGAACTCAGGGCCCTGCTCTCTTCACCACTACTCATCATATATGTATGAGAGTCATCCCATTTTTATGGCCAAGAAGTAGGGCTAGGACTAAGGGCGCTCAGAGATAAATGCTTGTACCATCTAAGGAAGGACTTCTCTGCAATCAGTTGGCCTGATATGATGATATACTCCCCAGAATATGATGCATGCTTCATCACAGGTTTCCAAGCAAAGGCCAAAATGCCCCAGCAATTATTGGAGATGATGAATGGGATGAGCCAAGCCTCAGAGAGAGAGTTTGATTCAAGTATATTTAAGGTTTTTTAAGACTGAGAAGCCAGGAATCCATGACTAAGCCCAGAGGAGCAGCACTCAGCATCACACACCCACACCTCTGAGCGAGCTCCTTGGGGACCTTCAGCTTCCCAATAATCACACAAGAGTTGAGTGTTGAGAACCCGTTTTAGGCTACTCATCCCCAGATGTGGGTGAGTTGGTCTAGATTATAGGTAACTTGTAGCATCCTTATACAAAGCAATCCCTGGCTTAGTCTCCTCAAGTTTCTTCCCCAGGTCCTATGGATGTTGGAGGGATCTTTATAAATATTATTTTTAGGAAAACAGCAGATACCTGCACACACATGCAGACCACTGTTTCACATGCGTGTGCTTCAGGTTAATTTTGTAATTCCTGGGCCCTCCACCCCGTCTAATTCCATGGTGCTGTTATTGTTGGTTGCCAGCAACACACCATGTATCTATGCCTCCAATCTCACCATCTGGAACATTCTCTGCTCTCCATCCCCTTCATCTGGTTGATTCTAACTCAGTAATTAAAACATCACTTCCTCTTGAGGGGAATTCCCCTGGCAAGGCAGTAGTTAGGACTCAGCAATTCTACTCCGCCAGGGCCCAGGGTTCAACCCCTGGTTGGGGAACTAAGATTCAGTTTGCAGAATCTTAGTTCTGCAAACTGCACGATGTGGCCAAAAACAAGGGGGGAAAAATTCTTTTTTAATTCCTCTTGGAGGCCTCTCTGATATCCTATCAACCCTCACGGTTATGTGAGGTATCTTGCCTGACCATTTCCCTGATCAGGGTGTAGCTATATTGAGAAATATTACACTGCATTATAATTACATGTTTACTTGCCTCCTTCATCACGCAGAAAGCGACCAGGAAACACAGATTGTATTTCTAGCACCTGAAAAAGCACCTCATGCTCTGTAGATATTTGAGCTCTGTCTAGCAAACAAATGGACAAATCCTGGAAGCAGAGCATATGGTCCATTTGGTTAGGTACAGTTGGAACCAGTGTGTTTAGTAGATGATTAGCCATCATCTTGTAAAGCAGAGAAACAGAATTTCCCCGAATTCCCTTCCGTACATTCCCAATTCTATGGCCCATCTCTCATCAGTCTGATTGGCCAGGGGAAAGAAGGGAAGTCTCTACATATTTACATGCAAAAACAATGTGTTTATTCTGTATGGTTTCCTTTAAAATAGTCATTTTAACAAGTAAGTATGCAAAAAAAAAAAACCACATAAACCATTCTGTTTCTGATCATAGACATATATGTCATTTTGAACCAGAGCTCTCCAGCTATATTTTAGCTAAGACAAACAGGTATGACCCCTAGTTCAAATTATGACTTCCCATGTATGAAAAGAAGTACTCTTCTCAAGACAAAGTTAAGTATCAAATACAGTTTGGCATATCCAGACCAAAGCAAGTCATACAACAATGCAAAACATAACCTTTACTTTTTTTTGTAAAACGTGATTTTGCAATCTTGCTGGCAATTGAGCTATAGGTGAACACAGCTGTCTTCTAACAAAACAATTCACTTCACAGCTGACCTAAATCACTGTGTTGTTTTGAACTGAACAAATGTGGTACACAAAAAATAATAATAATAATTAAGTACTTGGTACAGACTCTACTTGTTCAGCACCACCTACCATATATTAACCATCTCTCCCATTTATATGCACCAAAGGAAACTGAGGTGCTTTCATCATCAGTAAGCATGTTTTGCAAGTTCCCACCCACTCCTTTGAGAATTGTTCTTTCTCAAAAATTAGATCACCTTTAGCCAGCACCTTTGACACACTAAGAGACCAACCACACCCTAATACATCACCTGATCTTCTATTGTGGCAACTAAATGTTGTCACAATATTTTGGATTATTTTCATACTTAGCGTAACTAAACAAATATATCCCTTGTCATTCATACCTCACCAATTAAAGAGAGAGCATCTCTGGATAACTATTTACTGCCCACAAACTACATTTCTGCAAGAACTGAATTTAGCCAGTATTAGTACTATGATGTTTCAAGATGTAACAAAAGAGGATTTTTTGTTACAAAAAATTCAGCCTTCAAAAACGTTAATTAAACAGAACATTCTTTGACATAAATTATAGCAATATTTTTTGGATCTGTGCCCTAAAGCAAAGGAAATAAAAGCAAGAATAAACTAATGAGGCCTAATTAAACCTAAAAACTTTTGCACAGCAAAGGAAACCAAGGACAAAACACAAAGACAGCCTACTGAACAGGAGAAAATATTTGCAAATTATACTACCAAAAAGGAAAGGGTCAATATTCAAAATATACAAATAGTTCCTACAATTCAACATCAAAAAAACAAGAACCCGATTAAAAAATGGGCAGAAGACCTTAACTGACATTTCCCCCAAGAGGATACGCAAATGGCCAACATGCACAGGAAAAGATGTTCAACATCTCTAATCATTGGGAAATGCAGATCAGGACTACAATGAGATATCACCTCACACCTGTAAGAATGGTTATCATAGAAAAGAACACAAATAACGAATGCTGATGAGGATGTGAAGATAAGGGAATCCTCCTACACTGTTGGTGAGAATGCAAATTGGTGCAGCTACTATGGAGAACAGGATGGAGGTTTCTCAAAAAACTTAAAAGAGAACCACCATATTCCCTAGCAGCTCTACTCTTGGGTATACATCTGAAAAAATGGAAACAATAATTCAATAGACACATACATCCCAGTGTTCTCAGAAGCATTATTTACAATTGCCAAGAAATGGAAGCAATCTAATCATCTGTCAACACATGAATGGATAAAGAAGATGTGGTACACACACACACACACACACACACACACACAATGGAATAATATTCAGTCATAAAAAGGATGAAATTTTGCCATTTGCAACAACATGGATGGACTTGGAGGGTATTATGCTAAGTGAAATTAAGGCAGACAAACACAAACACTGTATGATATCACTTATATGCGGAATCTAAAAAAAAACCAAATTAATAAATATTAAAAAAAGAAACAGACTCATAGAAAATAAACTAATGGTTAACAGTGAGTAGAGGGAAGGGAAGGGGGTAGAAGATTGAGAGGTACAAACTATTATGTATAAAATAACCTATAAGGACATACTGTGTAACACAGGAAATATAGCCAATATTTTATAATAATGTACATGGAGTATAACCTTCAAAAATTGTAAATCATTATATTGTACAGCTGTAACTTATACAAAATTATACATAAACTATACTATATAAAAAATATATAAAGACAAAGTCTTTATTCCCCTCTCAAAAGCCTTTGTCTTTGACTTAATTGACAAGTGAGCTCTTTAGTGAATCATGAAATTAAAATTCATTCTTCTTAATTACCTATTTGTAGAACTACTTCTAAAATATGGAGAAGATTCTTTAAACAGAACTTTTAATGAAGGCTGTTTTTTTTTGCAGCTTTCACGTGGAGGTCATTCCTACAGATATTCCATTTTTAAAAACCGTACCTGGCAGCCAGTCTGAACCACGTTCAAATCCCACTCAGCATTAAGTGTAGCAGGAGTAGGAAGCTGAACACACAGCATTCAACTGATCAGGAAAAAACATACCATATTTAACAAAATTCCAGATTCTTGTGGTCGGCGTCTGTATAAACGCTTCGCAGTGTTGGATATGTGGTTTGCAAAAGCAAGCAAGTCCTCCACGGTCCCGTATCTGACTGAGGACAACCAAGGACCCTCCTGCCCACTGAGCAGTAGAGACTCAGACCGCTCCTCCTCGTTGTGGTTACTGTCCTGACACATGGTCAGCAGACTGGGTTCATAAACCGCTGGCTCTTCACTTGCGTAAAGATTTTCCATAATGTCTATCACATCAGACACATTCAAATGTTTCATTAATAGATCGAGTTCCTCTTTGTTGTCACTCCCAGTGCTCATGAACTCCATCACTGTTGGGCTCTCCAGAGAGTCTGCAGAAGAAAGTGCGACTACTTAGGTTACTGTGTTTGTATCTGCGATCAATAGGAAACTGACAAGATGGATTGGGTACAGGCTTCTGTGTGCTTTTGTTCATAAAACAGGGGCTGCAGCCACAGTGTGTGTGAGGTCAAGTGCACAGACAGTGAAGAAAGGGACCGGAGATAACCTTTAATCTGGTGCTGACTTTACAGAAGGAAACCTGAGATCCAGTGAACTCACTAGCTACCCACTTACTCACTGAGTTGCTGGCATCAGCTGTAGCTTCTGAAAATAAACGTTCACTAAACCCAAGTGTGAATTTGAGGAGCAGGAGCTGAGGCGCCTGGCTCTTGACAGTTTCCAACCTGCTGCTCTCCCAAAAAGGGCAATCCTTTCTGCATGATCTCTGTGACTTTTAGGCCTTGGGTGAATTTAAAAAGAAAAGAAACTCTCTGGGAATTCCCTGACAGTCCAGTGGTTAGGACTTAGCCCTTTCACCACAGAATCCTGGGTTCAATCCCAGGTCGGGAATGAAGATTCTTCAAGCCACATGGTGTAGCCAAAGATAAATAAATACATAAAACAAAAATAGAAATACACTTAAGAAAAAAAAAAAGAAATTCCTTTACCAAATTCAGGAACTAGCTTTGCAAATAAAATTCAGCTCCTGAAGCCAGAAGCATCTCAAATGGATTTTAATCTAAACAAATTTGGTGATGGTAAGTCAAGTTTCAAGAATAATTCTGATGAAAATAAATGGCTCACTTAGAAGGAAGACAGCAAACCTCAAATCCTCCTTCTGCTGAGGATAGCTATGAGAAAGAAGATTCTTTTAACCTGTAATCAGCTGTCCCCTCCTGTGACCAGAACTCTTTAACAGGACAAAGCATGCATCTCACAGACTCAAGAGGTTTCATTTAACATCTAGATCAATGACTCTCTAGAAGTTGTGGTAAGAGGCGAGGGCAGACAAATCTATCATAAGCAAGACACAGACAAGGTCAACTAAGTCTGCTTAGCCAAAACTGTGTTTCAGTTCTTATACACACACCAGGAGCCACACTTGGGGATCTGTAAATGAGAAAATGAAGAGAAATGAAGGGTAAACAGTGAGGCTGTAACACAGGATTTTGGAACAATCCCATCCCAAAACGTTACAGATAAAAGGACTTAAGGGACCTAAGAAAATAGAAAGATATGTATGTCTACTTAAACTACTGCACTCCTGGAAGCATCCTCTCTCTGAGAGATGTTTCAGGTTCTTAAAAGCACAAGCCTTCAATGCACACAGGGATAAATAAAAACCACAGGCTCCCACCAACCTGGAGCACGCACACCAAACCCAGGGAAATATTCCACCTCAGGGCCACCTGCCCACAAGACCCAGACCCAGACCCCTTGGTGAATTTCACTGGAGAAATGAACCAATTGTACCATTATTAAGTTACTGGGGGATCAATTTCTGCTCTACAAACAGTGTCTGGGGTAAGAAGGAAAGATCCTGCAGTCTGACACCCCACCTAAACTCAGACTGCAGGGGATCCAATCTCTAGCCTCTCGTTTTCTGTCTGCTGATCTTGGGCAAGTACTTTACCCATGGAGCCACCTGCAAAGCCCTCTTTAACCCCACTGCACATCAACGTTCCCCATCTGTAAAATGCAAGTAATAACAGCATGTCCTTCATAGGTGGTTGTGGGGATCAAAGGAGCTCAAGAGCACAAGGTGCTAGGTGCAGAGTCTGGTACACAGTAAATCAACTGTGTCTTTTGCAGCTGCTATGATGTGCATGAAAGCAAAGGACTGAGTCTGATTCCTGGCTTTGCAGATACCTCAACAGAACAGCTTTCTTATCTGCAAATGGGATGTGGCTACCTATTCCCCCACTTCTTTGCAGCAAGGTTTTAAAGACCGTTTCTAAAATAAGAGACAAAGGAAAAAAAAAGTCAGAAGGCTATGAAACGTTTTGATGGCTGTTATCACTGTGGTTTCATCTAGAGAGCAAAGGAAGCCCCCCTCTCTGAGACCTAGCGGGTCTTTGAGGAAGACTGATTTAGGCTCTTGGAGTCTGTTGAGTTCTGAAAGGAATTTCTTAGGTTAATGGAGGAACGTTCAACTTGGGTTTCATGGGGCCGTTTAGTTGCAGTTTCTACTTGCAAAATTTACAGGGAAAAAAAAAAAACGGAATTAAAACAAAAACAGCCCAATTTAGGATCCCACTGGCTAAAAACTTCCAAAGCTGCTGGGTTTACTTCTCAAATGGCCGGCCAGAGAGAAAGTAAAGTTCCCAGGGGTAACAGGGCTAAAGAAAGAGAGAAAAAGGTCATACAGTTTACAAGTCAGCTGATCCAGAGAGTGGAAAGGCAGGTTTTGGTTCTTAAATTCTGCTGTAAATCTGGAGTATTTATATGTAAAACCTAAGAGGCGGAGCCACACACACCCCTAATCTGGAAACTCGAGGAGGGAGGGAAGGCAGGAGGGAGGGCAGGGAGTTGGAGGAGTGTGTCTTCTCTGCCATTAATTCCTTAGCAACGCCACCCTCCTCTCACGCAAATCTGTGTGCTCCTTAGGCAACCCTGATGACCAGTCCATCCGCTAAAGGTCTGGGCAAAAGCCTCAGCACTTTCAGGCCTTAACTAGGCAGACAAAATGCTAACAATTTCTTAGTTATTCACCATCAGTAGCCATCTAGAAAAAGTGTGAATAGTGAAGGTATCTGTATTCCACTTTAGCCACAAGGACCCTTCTCCACACAGTTAACAGTTAAAAAAAAATCTGCATTAAATCACTGGTTGTTACTGCAGTTGGGGAATATACCAATTTTAGACACGGACAGATGGGCAGATATAGTCAAAATTCTGCCCATTTGTCCATGTCTAAAAATCCCATGGACAGAGGAGCCTGCACGGTACAGTCCATGGGGCCACCAGGGTCAGACATGACTGGGTGACTAAATCACCACCACAGTCAAAATTATCTGCTCTGAATTATTTCTGACACTGGAAATACAATCAAGAGGAAATACTCTTCCTAAACATGAATGGCATACTCCTGGCTTCTTCCATCTACACAAACAAAAGTTGAGGGTTTCCTGGCAAGTGTGAGTGAAAATGCCCAACATGACTGGCCTAAGTTCCTGTTTAACAAAAGGATGATTATACCTCGTGGTACTTCCCATTTAATAGATTTTTCTGCCAAAATATCACGTTGCCCCTCGGGGCCCCCATCCAGTAGGACTTTTTCTAATGATATTTTTGTTCTCAAAAAGCCCCAGAACGAAGCCATTCTCACTGTATTAGAAGCACAGCCACTTCAAAATCTCTATGCCTCAACTCTCCAATTTTCCTTACAGGAGACCTCAGCCAAAACACTGCACACAAACCTCCACCCATCAGATCTGGGGGCGTTTGCCGATTCAGGTTACCTCCTCCTTGGCCAGTACCTACAACTCAGGCCACAGATACAGAAAGCCAACTGTATTAGCGCTTCTTTCCCTGTTTTTATCAAGAGCAGTCCTTTACTCTGGGCAAAAATATGTCTTTCCCAAAGTGAAACAGACATTGCAGTGTTTCACATAAAGACAGTTCACGGCCTTCCCTGTTAACTTTTGGGACAATCTGTGAGCGGTTCTTCCTTTTAAACTTCGGAATCCTGAATACTGCATTTCCACGGGGAAACATCTGTGAAATAAAACATTTTTCCCCTGAACATTCTTTCTTAGGCCAAAAGCCCAGCATTCGTCTTCTGCTATAATCACCCTCTTAGTCACAGAAGACGGTCCACCAAACAAGCATGAAACTTAAAAGTTTCAGCTCTTACACGACTCTCGATCCCGCCAGCCCCCACCTCTACTCCCTTCCTCCCGTCTCTTTCCTTGAAGCGAAGGGAGCCTTAAAGGGCTTGCAAGTTAGAAGAGCACCCCTCGTTAGGGCAAGGGGAAGCGGGGGCCCCCGCCTCCGGGGTGCACTCACCGGGTCTGGGCAGACAGAGGGCAGGCGCGCGGGTGGCGCACGCGGCGGGAGGCGCGGTGACAGCGGGTCCCAGCCTCCGGGCGCATCGCCCGGACCTGCACTGCTCGCGCGCTCGGGATCCGGGAAACGGGAGGAAGGGGGAGGAGTCGGGGGCGGCGCCCCGAGAGACCCTTGCGCAAGGTGCTTTCCAGCTGTGCTGGCTGCCGCGACTACCCGCGCTCAGCCTCGGAGCGCCGCAGCTGGAAGCCGGCAGCCCCTACCTCCTGGATCCCCGGAGCACACACCGCACCCCCACGCCCTGATGCCGGGGTTCCCTGGATCTCAGGGTGGGAACCGCCGGGGCACCCAGCAGGGCTGCGATCTAACGATACCCCTGAACCCCCAAAGTCTGCGTTACCTGCGGCCTCCGTGCGGTCCCGCGGGCAGAGCGCTCCCGCCGCGGTCCCTCGACGGCTCTCCTCGCAGCTGGTGGGCAGCCCCCGGGAGCCGGGCGCTCCGGGGTCCCCAGGCCCGGTGACAGCAGAAGCGGGAGCCAGGGCGAACGGCCCCGGAGCGTGGCGCGCAGTCCAGGTCCGAGCTGCCAAATGAGCCCGGAGCAGCTCGCGCTCCCGGGACGCCCTCGTCGGCCCCTGAGTCACGGCGTCTGAGCCGGCCTAGGGGCGGCGCAGCGGACTCCAGCCGCCGCCTCCCCGCCTTTTCCATTTCCCCTTTCTCTCTGTAAACAGAAAGAGCCCGCCGGCTTGCGGGACAGCCCAAGCCCCCGCGCTGGGAAATTCCGTCCTCCCCCCACCCCACTTGCCCGCGGGGCCCGGGGCGGAGCTGGAGGCGGGACAGGGGTGGGGCGCGCCCTGAGCGGAATCGGCCTCGCCACACCTCCCGGGGATCCGGACTACCGCGCGGCACCTGCCCTAGGCCTGGGACAACACCGACGAGGTCCCTCTGAGCCGGGGTACCCGGCAGCCAGGGTGCTAGAGAGCACCCAGATGCGGAGTTGGCAGGGGCGACGGCGACTCGGCACCCTGTCCCCAAGGAAAGATCGTGGTTCCTAACGTGCTGGCGGCCTCGGCAGTACTCCGGTGTCCCCGGCTCTTTGGGCTCAGATTTCGGTTCAGGTCACAGACAGCGCGGTAGTCCGCGCCCCGCTCCACCCCGCACCCACTCAGGTTCCAGGGCTTGCGAGAAGCGGCCTCAGTGTAAACCCGACCCTGGAGAGTTTGGTATGGAGTAAGGGCGAGCCCCTGGACCCAGGCCAAGATCGCCGCCAGCAAAAACTGGTTTCGCTCTTTCCGGCCTTCATTGGAACTGGTTATTGGTGGTGCTGCCCGATCCCAAAGTATGTCTGCCCTGATTTCCTCCTAACCCCAGCGTCTAGTCTGGGAGTCTATCCTGCTGGGGAAGAAGTTCAAAGTTCATCTAGAGTGATCGTCCTTCTGAAGTGGAAAGCGTTTGCTCCCAGGGAAGCCGGAAGAAGATTCTGGGGAAATAGCACCCCTCTGCGAAATCCACATTCCCAAAACCTACTGAGTACCTGCTCTCACGCTCCCGCCAGTAGTGCCTGAGGCTTGCTGGGTACCTTCTGCAAGACAGGCGGAAGGAGATGCTGTTAGGCGGCGGTGCCCAACCTCGAGGATGTAATACCTGATGATCTGAGGTGGAGCTGATGTCATAATGATAGAAATAAAATGCACAACAAATGTAATGCACTTGAATCACCCCCCAAACCATCCACCACCACCTGCTTCTCAGTTCAGTTTAGTTGCTCAGTCGTGTCCAACTCTGCGAACCCATGGACTGCAGCATCCAGGCTTCCCTGTCCATCACCATCTCCAGGAGTTTGCTCAAACTCATATCCATCGAGCCGGTGATGCCATCCAACCATCTCATCCTCTGTTGTCCCCTTCTGCCTTCAATCTTTCCCAGCATCAGGGTCTTAAAGCTGTTTCCACAAAACTGGTCCCAGGTGCCAAAAAGATTGCCGACTGCTGCTCTTAGGCACACACCCTCTCTCCGTGTTAGCGACTCAGACCTTGGATGTGCCTTGTGGAGCCAAGATTCAAACGTCTTTCGAGACTGCATTGGACTCGATATAAGACTCTTCATACTTCTCCTGTGGAAAGTGAACTGTTACTCCCACCCAAAGAAGTCATCTGAGAATTGCCAGTGTAGGGAGGCTAGCTGAGATGAAGAGCAAGGCCCTCGCTGTAGGACCTTAACTCCCTTCATTTCTCTGTGCTTCTGTTTCCCACAATGGTAACAAGGTGATTGATAGGGGCCCAAGACTTTAGCAAAATGGTGAGGACTGTTTGGGGACTGAGTCATCCCCCAGATGATTTTAAATACTAGGGTGCTGCGACATGACTGAGGCATGTGCCATTTCCAGGTGGTCCCAGTGCTGAACCACTCCCTACCCCCAACCTGGTTCAGGGGACTAGGTATTTTTCTGCTCCTGGAGGAGGACGTGCTACCTAGACCGACCCAGTTGCTCTGACTCCGCAGAGACTGCCGGCGCCCAGGCTGGGAGAAGCCCGGCTGGCCTGGACACAGACTCCATGGAATTTGGCCGAAACTCAAGAGCAGATTATCCCAGTCTCAGCGGAAACTGAAGCATTTACTACTTAGTCTTTTCTCTGGGAACCAGATTGGCCGGGTTGTTGCCTCTAACTGTAACATGAGAAACGTCTCTCTGTCTCTCCTCTTATCTGTTGTCTTTCACCAAGGAAGGATGGGTTTTATAAGCATTTTAAAAATAGAAACATGGAACCGCCCCCTTGATGAGCTCATGAAAACCACACCTAATCTTCTGGGAACTAAGTATTAGCCTTGTTTCCTACACAGAGATCTTCCAAATATAGCTTCATTTTAAGGAGCTGCTGAAATGGCTGCTCCAGGGGTGGGGGTTCTCTCTGGTTCTTCATTGCTTATGCAATAGCAGATTTCATCTGGTGGGGTGAATTAAGAGGCTTTACTCACTTTTTAATGTCTAACAGAGATTGGCCCTGGTGACCGGGATTACTGGAGAGAGAGGACAATTGAAGGGAAAGAAAAAGTTTGCAGACTACTTGCGTTTTTCTCGGTCAAGACTTTGTTACACAGGCTTGCAAAAGCAATCCTGCTCAGTGTGCTGGAAAAGTGAGGCTTCAGCTTGCTGAGGAGAAGCCACCCAGTGGGGAGTGTGCACAGACAAAGAGGGGTGATTAAAGCAGAGATGGCTGTTTGCAGCCAGCAAACTGCACTTGAAAACTGAGCTGCAAGGTTGCAGTTTACCTGAAGAGGCTTCTCCATAGGTGCATTGGGACAGTAATAGGCTTGTTATCTGTAGCGCAGAAATCAGAGCTCATTAACACCCAGGACCAAGGTGATTAACGAAGGTAGGTGCATCAGCCAGTGAGTGCATAAGTCTCTGTAACCCTAACCAGATCTATGCTGATAAACAGAATACAGGACACTGCTTTCCAGTCTTTTTCATATTCATAAAAAATATAGTATTTTTCTAGAATACTGGGATAAGCTGGAATAAATTGGAGGATACCTATATGTGACTTGGGCTTCCCTGGTGGTTCAGTGGTAACGAATCTGCCTGTCATGCAGGAGACACAGGTTTGATCCCTGGGTTGGGAAGATCCCCTGGAGAAGGAAATGACAACCCACTCCAGTATTCTTGCCTGGGAAATCCCATGGAAAAAGGAACCTGGTGGGCTACAGTCTGTGAAGTCACTGAGTCAGACACAGTTGAGTGACTAAACAACAACAATATGTGACTTGAAGAAAAATGTATCAATATTTCATTTTCTTAAATTATAATAACAATAATAACATTTGAGGAAGATCATTAAATCTTGAGTTTTAGTAAAGTTTTAAATAAGATGTTTTTATAGTTAGACAGAACTTGAGCCTGATTTCATCAGCATAACATTTTGCTATCTGGCTCTTGTTGCAGCTATACATATTTACCCACTATCCTAGGTAGCTCAAATGGTAAAAAATCTGGCCATGATGCGGGAGACCTGGGTTGCATCCCTGGGTTGAGAAGATTCCCTGGAGAAAGGCATGGCAACCCACTCCAATATTCTTGCCTGGAGAATTCCATGGACAGAGGACCTGGTGGCTATAGTCCATGGAATCGTGAAGAGTTGGACATGACTGAGCGACTAACACTTTCACATACATATTTACCTATTCAGTTCAGTTGCTCAGTTGTGTCTGACTCTTTGCGACCCATGGACTGCAGCATGCCAGGCTTCCCTGTCCATCACCAGCTCCCGGAACCTGCTCAAACTCATGTCCATTGAGTCAGTGATGCCATCCAACCATCTCATCCTCTGTCATCCCCTTCTCCCACCTTCAATCTTTCCCAGCATCAGGGTCTTTTCAAATGAGTCAGTTCTTTGAAGCATCAAGTGGCAAAAGTATTGGAGCTTCAGCTGGAGCATCAGTCCTTCCAATGAATATTCAGAACTGATTTCCTTTAGGATGGACTGGTTGGATCTCCCTGCAGTCCAAGGGACTCTCAAGAGTCTTCTCCAACACCACAGTTCAAAAGCATCAATTCTTTGGAGCTCAGCTTTCTTTATAGTCCAACTCGCACATCCATACATGACTAATAGAAAAACCATAGCTTTGACTAGACAGACCTTTGTTGGCAAAGTAATGTCTCTGCTTTTTAACATGCTGTCTAGGTTGGTCATAACTTTTCTTCCAAGGAGAAAGCATCTTTTAATTTCATGGCTGTAGTCACCATCTGCAGTGATTTTGGAGCCCCCCCAAATAGCCTATCACTGTTTCCATTATTTCCCCATCGATTTGCTATGAAGTGATGGGACCAGATGCCATGATCTTAGTTTTTTGAATGTTGAGTTTTAAGCTAATATTTTCACTCTCCTCTTTCAGTTTCATCAAGAGGCTCCTCAGTTCCTCTTTGCTTTCTGCCATAAGGGTGTTGTCATCTTCATAGCCAAGGTTATTGATATTTCTCCCAGCAATCTTGATTCCAGCTTGTGCTTCATCCAGCCCAGCATGTCATATGATGTACTCTGCGTATAAGTTAAATAAGCAGGGTGACAATATACAGCCTTGACGTACTCCTTTCCCAATTTGGAACCAGTCTGTTGTTCCATGTCTGGTTCTAACTGTTGCTTTCTGACCTGCATACAGGTTTCTCAAGAGGCAGGTCAGGTGGTCTGGTATTCCCATCTTTCAGAATTTTCCACAGTTTGTTGTGATCCACACAGTCAAAGGCTTTGGCATAGTCAGTAAAGCAGAAGTAATGGGTAAAGCCTCGTACCCATTAAGAGGTTTGAATAATGACCTCTTTAAACTTCTGATAATAACCTTCAGATGAGAAAGTGTGCAGACACATAAGTAATAAATGTAAAACCATTATAATAATCTTTAAATTTTCTGAACAGTTGAAATTCCGTTTTAAAAATCCAGTAGGTCTTGATTTTTTTCATTCAACAGGTAGGTTTCTTATGATAAGTGAATTTCAATGATAATTGAATGTTTTCATATTAAGTCTTTCTAAGGAGTGAGGCTGTAATGTGAAAACTTGCCTGCACTATCAGAGCATTTAGCTTGGATGCTGCTGAAAAGACACAGCAGACGGAAGGATGAAGCATGGTGGGGCGGGAGGGAAGATTCTGGACCGTTTGCCCCACTCCTTGCCCTGCCTCCACTTCTGATGCTCCATGGGCTTTGGCCTTGCTCCTCTGGAACACAGCTTCCTCCAGCCTGGACTGGGCCCCCTGCAGCTGTTGGCAGATGGACCTGCTGGCCTCACTCAGCATCTTGGGGTGGATTAGGGATTCCATCAGACCTGCGGGGACCATATGAGCAACAGCACCTTCCACTCTGACCCCACTGTCACTCTATAGCATCCCAGAGATGACCACAGAGGCCCCCAAATGCCTTAAGGCTGCAGTCCTCAACCTTTTTGGCACCAGGAGCTGGTTTTGTGGAAGACAACTTTCCCATGGACTGGGGGTGGGGTGGGGGTAGTGGGCATTGGAGGCAGAATGGAGATGGCTTCGGGATGATTCAAATCCATTCCATTTATTGTGCACTTTCTTTCTGTTATTATGACCTCAGCTCCACCTGAGATCATCAGGCATTAGGTCCTGGAGGGTGGGGACCCTTGCCTTAAGGAATATGTGCACGCCCAGTCTCTCAGTCACATTCAACACTCTGCGACCCCATGGACTATATAGCCCATCAGGGTCCTCTTCTATGGAACTTTCCAGACAAGAATACTGGAGAGGGTCACCGTTTCCTACTCCAAGGGGTCTTCCTGTCTCAGGAATTGAACACACATCTCGTGAGTCTCCGGCATGGGCAGGCGGGTTCTTGACCACTGCGCCTTTAAGGAATACAAGGGTATCTATGTTCCTCCACATCACTGTGCAGGGCTTTCCCCTACAGATCCCTCCTAGGACTCAGGGCAGAGGACAGACCAGGATGAAGGAGACAGTTTTCTCTGTCCACCTCTTTCCTTTGTCTTCTCCTCAACTTTGGGGACTAGAGAGGGAAATGGCAAGCCACTCCAGTACTCTTGCCTGGGAAATCCCATGGACAGAGGCGCCTGGAGAGCTACAGTCCATGGGGTCACAAAGAGTTGGACACAGCTGAGTGCACACACACACACACACACACACACACACGTGTACGTGTGCGCACACACACCCCTTTGGGGACCTCACTGCACTCACCAACTTTTGCTCTCACGGTGCAAAGTGGGACCAGCAATGATAAGAAGGCCATGGGCCTGGGGCAGAGATGGAGTCCTCTGGTGGGGGTTGGGGTGAGAAACCCACTGCTTCCTGGTCTCTCTCAGCTGTGGTTGGTGTTTACCTCTGAATAAACCTGTGTATACCGGGCCTGGGTGTGAACCAGAGACCTTCTGCTCTTAATGTGCAGAAAGCTCAAACTCCAGACTCTCAAAGTACCTAAATTGCACCCGTTTTATATGAAATGTATTCTTTTTTCGTTCATTGCTTTGTGCTGTGACTTCCTCAAATGTGCCACACTCTGAAAACAGAAACTTCTGATCTGTGCCTGTCTCTTCCACCTCCTGAATGGAAACTCCCAGTGCAGCATTTCTTAATCTCCGGCTTCCGAGATTACCACACGGCTCAGGATGTACCCCCCACCAAGGAACCATTTGGGGCTCTCTCCTCTGGCAGATGCAATTGCTTTCATTTTTCACATTTGTAGAGGGGAGAGGAGGACTCTGCAACAAGACTCCCCCTAACTGTGTGGGGCCACGCATTGGAGCAGTCCCTGGTGTGCTGGTAGACATTCTCTGCTAGGCACCTCCCACGACTCCTTGTTAACCAGAGTCTCCTTATCCCAGGACCAGATGTCACCTGCAAGCACGATATGAGGGACTATCGGCAACTTACTGCCCCAGTGAGGCAAGGAATTGTTTTAAAAAATTAAGTACAGCCTGATCTGCAAGTGTAAATGCAGAGGTAGAAAAAAAAGTCACTATAATAGCATCCTCTCCAAAAACAATCATTACTAACTTCCTTTAGAATGGTGTTCTTCGCACACTACACATTAGGAAATTGGCTGGATTACTATTTCAACAGCCCTTTTAAAAGGGTGTTGGGTGCTTATTCTCATGTGAGTGCTTTAAACCAAGTGAGTTAAATACATTTGGGGTTTTCCTTTGCATTTACAGCACTAACAACAATTGCAAGGACTTCCCTGGTGATCCAGGGGTCAAGAATCTGCCTGTCAATGCAGGAGACACAGGTTCTATCCTTGATCCAGGAAGATTCCACTTGCCATGGAGCATCTAACCTCCACATACCTCCTCCAGGTCTTTAGATTGATAATCTTTTGTCTCTAATCATGGGAAGAGAGGTTGTGAAGGCATTTCATCTGTCTCCTAGTAGGTAGAGATACAGAAGAGGGCTGAGTCCAGGAAACCTCAGAAATGGAACACTAGTTTTGATTATGCTTAAAGGGAAACTGGGCTTCCCAGGTTGACACAGTAAAGAATCCACCTGCCAATGCAGGAGATGCAGGAGACTCGAGTTCAGTCCCTGGGTCAGGAAGACCCTTTAGAGGAGGGCATGCAACCCACTCCAGTATTCTCGACTGGAAAATTTTGTGGACAGAGGAGCCTGGTGGGCTACAGTCCATGGGGTCACAAAAAAGTCAGACATGACTGAGCACAGCCTCTCAAGCACAAAGGGAAGCCAGCTCTAATTATTCTTGGAGTTTGAGGGAGCCCAGAGAAACTTCCTGCCCCTCTCACCCTGGTCCTGGGTGGGCTGATGGGTGCCTGGAGGCACTGATGGGCTTAAGAGTATCCTGAGACCTTCTCCTGGTTGTTGAGAGCAGATGGATGGGCAGTGTCTCCCTGTTGTCCACCCAGTTCTTGCACACAGCACAATGCCCCTAGGCCAAAACTGTCCCTAAAACAGGAGTCCATGCCCAGATGCCTACAGACATGCTGGAATGGAGCCTATTTCTATCAGCTCACAGAACCAGCGATAAACTCCTTATGATTCACGAGACCTGGTTGTTAAGTTTTGCTACTGCTGCCAAGTCGCTTCAGTCATGTTCAACTCTGTGCGACCCCATAGACGGCAGCCCACCAGGCTTCCCCGTTCCTGAGATTCTCCAGGCAAGAATACTGGAGTGGGTTGCCATTTCCTTCTCCAATGCGTGAAGGTGAAGTCGTGCAGTTGTTTCCGACTCTTAGCGACCCCACAGTCTGCAGCCTACCAGGCTCCTCCGTCCATGGGATTTTCCAGGCAAGAGTACTGGAGTGGGGTGCCATTGCCTTCTCCAGTTGTTAAGTACAGTCAAAACTAAGCATAAAATTATAAGTAAATGAAATCTATATAAAAGACAAAGTGATAAATTATAAAAACTTACCACGTCCTGATTATTCTACTGCATGGAATTGTTTCTCAACTCTTGAGGTCATTCATGTTTACTACATCCCCATAGTGGAAATACGACACCATGATGGGCACACATATGTCTTTTTCCAACTCTGCATTCAGTGGCCTCAAGTTAGCAGCCAAAATAGGCCATCATGGGAGTTTTTACACCACAGAAACCAGCAAACACTACAAACCAGGGCAGGGCTTTCACAAGGCTGGTTGTTAAATATTTATCAGCCCAGCAAAAGCTGTGTCCATGCACTTTTGACACCCTTTTTAGGTACTTTTGACATGTTTTAGGTTATTTGTTTTTGCGCTCTACCCACCTTTTCTAATATTAATAATCCATCAGAATATCTCATATTTCTACCAAAGTAGAAAATGCCTGACAGTGAACGGTGTTCACGGGCCACCATCTCTCTGTTACCGCCTGGAGCTTCATCCTTGTTCTAACAGTAAAGCCGTGGGTAGCGGGGAAGGGCATCAGGGGTGTGTCCTAAGAGCCAGGCTACAGCCTAGGGTGGCCCCTTGGGGGCAGAGGCAGCAGACACTTTCCTTCATAAACCTGACTCCCAAGCTGATGCTGGCTGAGTTTACGATCAGTAGTGCCCACTGCCTCTTAGGAATCCCCTGAGGAATTCTCATTCAGTATAAGGGGGCTTTGGCTTCCCAGGTGTCTCAGTGTTAAAGAATCCACTTGCCAGTGCAGGAAATGCAGGACACATGAGTTTGATCCCTGGGTCGGGAAGACCCCATGGAGTAGGAAATGGCAACCTGCTCTAGTCTACTTGCCTGGAAAATTCCATGGACAGAGGAGCCTGGCGGGCTACAGACTATGGGGTCGCAAAGAGTCAGACACGATTGAGCACACACACACTTAAGGGGGCTTGTTCCTCTGAGATCTGAACTCAGAAAACTCAGGAGAATGGAAATATGGGGCAAGTAAAAAGGTGTTTGTATTCAAACCTCTGCTTTACTTTCTGTCCATGTGACCGTAAGCAAATTAATACATTTGTGGAGCCTCAGTTTCTTTATTTATAGAAGGGGGGAAGAAACTACTTGGTTTTCATTTTACTTTTACACTTTCCTTTTTTTTTTTAAATAACATCAAGTGCTTATAAAAACCCACAGCTTTGACACTATGAGAAAAGTGAAATTATTACATGTCTTTACATTATACTGAAATACCTTTACAAAACACAATACTTTCATATATCTGTCCATTATTATCATTCATACAATAACCTTGAAAGTGACTGTTATTAGGCTTATTCAACATTCGAGGAAGTTTAGAGATAAGTAACTTATCTGACCCCATGAACCACAGCACGCCAGGCCTCCCTGTCCATCACCAACTCCCGGAGTTCACCCAAACCCATGTCTATCGAGTCGGTGATGCCATACAACCATCTCATCCTCTGTTGTCCCTTTCTCCTCCTGCCTTCAATCTTTCCCAGCATCAGGGTCTTTTCAAATGAGTCAGCTCGGATGTGAGGGCAATCTGGTTGCGACATCTGTCACCCCATTGATCGCCAGGGTTGATTTGGCTGATCTGGCTGGCTAGGCAGGTGTCCCCTTCCTCCCTCACCGCTCCATGTGCGTCCCTCCCGAAGCTGCGCGCTTGGTCGAAGAGGACGACCATCCCCGATAGAGGAGGACCGGTCTTCGGTCGAGGGTATACGAGTAGCTGCGCTCCCCTGCTAGAACCTCCAAACAAGCTCTCAAATGAGTCAGCTCTTCGCATCAGGTGGCCAAAGTACTGGAGTTTCAGCTTCAACATCAGTCCTTCCAGTGAACACTCAGGACTGATCTCCTTTAGGATGGACTGGTTGGATCTCCTTGCAGTCCAAGGGACTCTCAAGAGTCTTCTCCAACACCACAGTTCAAAAGCATCAATTCTTTGGCCCTCAGCTTTCTTTATAGTCCAACTCTCGCATCCATACATGACCACTGGAAAAACCATAGCAAAGAGTCGGACACGACTGAGCGACTGAACTGAACTGAACTGAACTTATCTGAGATTAGTCAGATAATACCCAGAACCAAAATTCTAACTCACATTTGCTACATTCAAAGCTATGCATTATCTGTACTCTGATAACAAAATAACAGAATTTTGAAATAATCTAAAAATTAAATATATAAACAAACTGGAAAAAAAAAGAACCCTTTGTAGCCGTAGCCATTAGATTTCTATATTCTTGGACTTAGCTGGTGCTGTGTCATTCATTTAAGAGACTTATGGGGAGCAGTAGACTCCAGGGACAACCCACATTGTCCATCTGCTGTTGTTTATTGTCCGGGAAGACACTGGCCAGTCCTCCCTACTTCTGCCTACAGCCATGCTCTCAGAGGCCACACCAGCTTGGGTCCCCCCAACCCCTACCTCCTTGGTTGCTAGAAACCTACCATGTGGGTGGTTCTGGCTAATTGCACCACTGCAAAATCAGTTCCTCTGGCTTCACCCGCCAGATTAAAGATTCACGAGCATATTCTGGGCACAGACCTCCAAGCAGGACTGGAAGAGTAAGATACTTCTTATTATTATTCTATTTTTTCTAAGTATTATTTACTTATGGCAGTGCTGGGTCTTCGTTGCTATGTGAGGGCTTTCTCCAGTTGTGGTACACGGGCTTCTCGATGCCGTAGCTTCTCTGGTTGCAGGGCACAGACCCTAGGTGCACGGCTTCAGTAACTGTGGCTCATGGGCTCAGCAGCACTGAGGCATGTGGGATCTTCCCAAATAAGGATCAAACTGGTGTCCTTAACCACTGGACCACCAGGGAAGCCTCAAGATGCCTCTTCTTAGCTAATTAAAGATGGAGAAGCTTCAACACACTACACGGATCCCGTAAGCACCCCTGCCCTGGTGCCCAGGTTGTAGCTTTAACGACTCCTAGAAAAACTCCATATTAAAGATCACACTAAGACTCTGCACTTTGTGAAAACTTAAATCTGATGGCAAAGCAAGTTATGTTCACTAAAGACATTCCGGAAAATAGAGATAATGAAATTTACCTCCAGTCCTAACACTCAGATCTCCAATAACTACTGTCAACATTGTAATCAACAGCATTCTGATTTTCTTTGTAATGCACAGAAATTAAGATTTCCTTGCCTTTTGCCCCTGGGGACTGCTTCTAAAGTCAGCTTTGCAAGTGAGAAGCAGAGAATAACCAGCACATGATTTGACAGGCAATTTGCTCACTCACTTGTTTATTCACCAAACATCTGAGTGGCTGGTTGACAGCAGGGACAGCTCCAGGTGCTAGGAAACAGCAGTGGACAAACCCACTGGCCTTCTGGGAGCCTATCACCTGGGAACAGCAAGACGCTGGACAAATACACACATACATATCATAGTTCAACTTCTGACAAACGCTCTGACGGAAATGAACAAGGTGGAGGAAGTAAAGGGAAGTGAAAGATACTTATGAACTAGATCTTGCAAAGCTCAGAGAACACCTTTCTGAGAATGTGCCCCTCACATAAAGATAGTGATGGAGATGATAGCAACATGATATAGGTCAAACGTTGCTGTGTAGGTGTAGCTGCTTATCACTTAACTCCACATTTCAATTTTGTTCTGAGTTGATGTGGGTCAATTCTCAAAGTAAGCAACTGTGTTAGAGGTGGTTTAACTCAACACCTTCACTTTATAAATGAGGAGGATGATGTCAAGGGGTGGCTTATTCAGAACCATGTTACTAGCAAAGAGCAGAGCCTCGTCTACAGGCTAACTTTGGTGACCCATAAAGCCCATCTATTATTACTGTAACATACAGTTCCTTTTCAGTTCAGTTCGGTTGCTCAGTTGTGTCTGACTCTGCAACCCCACAGACTGCAGCACACCAGGCCTCCCTGTCCATCACCAACTCCCAGAGTTTATTAAACTCACGCACATTGAGTCGGTGATGCCATCCAACCATCTCATCCTTTGTTGCCCCCTTCTCCTCCTGCCTTCAATCTTTCCCAGCATCAGGGTCTTTTCAATGAGTCAGTTCTTCCATCAGGTGGCCAAAGTATTGGAGTTTCAACTTTAGCATCAGTCCTTCCAATGAATATTCAGAACTGATTTCCTTTAGGATGGACTGGTTGGATCTTCTTGCTGTCCAAGGGACTCTCAAGAGTCTTCTCCAACACCACAGTTCAAAAGCATCAATTCTTTGGCGCTCAGCTTTCTTTATAATCCAACTCTCACATCCATATATGACTACTGGAGAAACCATAGCTTTGACTAGACAGACCTTTGTTGCCAAAGTAACGTCTCTGCTTTTTAATTACTTTTAGAGAAGCTTAATATAAAGAAATGTTGCTCTATATTGTCCTCACAAATACACTGTAATCAAATATAACCAATTACAGAGTAACTCGTATCTTTATTTTTTTCCTCTGATGCAAAGTCTGGGGCAAAAGAAAGAACAAGGGTTTTGGTGTTAGTTACATTACATCCAGATTTTTTTTCTTTTTTCATTCGTTCATTTATTCTTTCTTTTGCCTTTCCCTAGCTGTGTGATTGGGAAAATGTACTTAATCCCCTGAACTTTAGTGTCCTTGTTTATGAAACCAGCATGCATTGTAAGTGGTGGTTTTTATTCCAATGTTTAAATGGAGAGAATTGGGCAAGATTATAAGGGGAAAAATAGCATACATGGAGTGATACAAGTTAATGTCTTCAACGAAGGGGAAACAGAGTCAAGCTTGCTGGTGGTTGGGTTTTTCTTGCAACTCACTAGGGCTCTGATTAGTAACAGAAACCCTGGGTCAGTGCGTGGAGAAACCTCGTAACCAATCCAGCAGGTTGAAGCTGTATCACTGTGGTTTTTCTCTTTAAGATACCAAACCTTCCGGTTTTCTTTGGTGCCTCTTTTCTAAACTTGTTTTATTGACTGCATCACCGGCTGTGTGGTAGTAGTTTCATTTTTACCAGTGAGCTGGATTATCCCTCTGCAAATCTCCCTGGGGTTCTTGGAAAAATATCTGAAATTGATAAGAGCCAGGGCATACCCAGGGTATTTGAAGGAAATACCCAGCTAAGAAATCACTGACTGCTCTACACAGTTTGCAGAGGTGTTAGGGAGATCTTAACTATCTCCTTAGAAAGGTCCAGTTAAAGGTCTATTTTTAGGTCTCAGAGATCTCCTTGGAATACTCTTTTGGGGGGCTGGGGGGGGACACCGAGATAGGAAGAAGTCTAATATTAATGTGTTTGAGCCTTTAGCTCTGAGGCTTCTCAAGCAGGCTGCTCTTTCCCTAATCAGCTGGGTTCCCACATACCAAACAGAAATGGTCTGACCCAGAGAGAAGATGTGGGCTCCAGCCCAAGGATGGGCTCTCACTGATCCCAGATACTGATCCCCTCCAACTCGGGGCTCCTTTCCTTTGCTTTGAAGTCCCTGGCAGGCAGTTCTGTGCAGAAAAAGTCATCCTCGCTGTGGCTTGCTGGCTGCAACATTTCCAGAGAGATGCACAAGGCAGCCAGTGACACATGGCTCCAAGAGGGCACACCAGCCTGCAGAGGAAAGAAACGTGTTACCGCAATCTCGCTTCTCTCTTTGAAGACTCTTTCTTTCTCCTTTCTTATCTATCTATCTATCTATCTATATATATATATATACACATATAGATATATATGTATATATATATATACATATACACACACACACACACACACATATATATATATATACGAGCTAGCATTAAATGTGGTAAGAATAAAAATGAATATTTCTGCACTAGTGACTATATGTCTGGATTCATGGACTTTTTGGCATCTAAGGGGCTTCCCTGGTCACGCAGATGGTAAAAAAAAAAAAAATCTACCTGCAATGCAGGAGACCTGAGTTCAATCCCTGGCTCAGGAAGATCCTCTGGAGAAGGCAATGGCAACCCATTCCAATATCTTGCCTGGAGAATCCCATGGACAGAGGAGCCTGGCAGGCTACAGTCCATGGAGTCACAAAGAGTCGGACGTGTCTGATCGACTAACACAAGGTCATGGACGTCATCATTAAAGACAGAATGACAATTCAAACTCACTTATAAGTGAATCAGTAGAACTCTTTGTAATCTAAGTGAAAAAAAATAATGTAAGCAAATATAGCCATTATTATTATTATTAAGAGGGAGCAAGGACTTCCCTGGTGAGCCAGAGGTTAAGAATCCTCCTGCCAATGCAGGGGACACAGGTTTGATCCCTGGTCTGGGAAGATTCCACATGAAGCAGGACAACTAAGCCTCTGGCCTAAAATTACTGAGCCCACATGTGTAGAGCCCGTGCTCCACAACAAGAGATGCCACCTCAATGAGAAGCCCATGTTTGGTGACAAAGAGTAGCTCTCATTTGCTGCAACTAGAGAAAGCCCCCAAGCAGCAACAAAGACTCAGCATAGCCAAAAATAAAATAAATAAATGAATTTTTTTAAAAAGGGAGCAAAATATTTCACCTCAAAATACAGCATGTTACTATATAGATTATTTTGAATTAAATCCCCTTAAGCAGCAGCTGGTGTCAGACACACTGACCCTCCTTTATCCCCCGAAAGCAGGAAATAAGTCTCCCAAGTGAAGCGATCCTCTGTTTACAGAGGGTAGAAAGACATCCTTGTCATCAGAGATGGGGAATTCAAGGCTGAGAAGTTT